GGTCAGAGCTGGCACCGCCCCCTTGGTGAAATCATGGGAAAAGCATTGGATTGGCTAAAATTGGCAAATGGGCAGGGCTAAAAACTGTTTTGCATCTCTATGAGGAAAATTCAGCGTCCCCATGCAGCACTAAGCCAGGAAGCCACTTCAGTGGCCATCTGAAGTGTGGCCACTTGGAGGTGTCCCTAGGGGCAATGTAAACACGGCCTTTTCTTCGAAAAGGCAATGTTTGCATGAAAATGCCTGCAGACAATGATCATACTCACCAGAACAACTGCATTAAGCTGTAGTTGTTCTGGTGACTATAGTGTCCCTTTAAGGGTTAGCATGTATAGGTTAGAATGAGTCATTATTGATAGGAATTTGAGTTAAGCATGGGGAAGAGTTTAGTAAAAGAGATGAAAGGATCTGCCATCATATGAACTGTTTTTTATTTTGCAAGAAATGTTCTCTATCTTGGAAAGTCACAGGATGGCCTTTTCGCACCACCCAGGAGACAGCCTGATAGTATATACTAATTTGCACTGGGATAGGGAATAGAGCAAAATATAGATCTCCAGATGCTGTAGGTTGTAGAACATCATCTCCCAGGATGCTTTGGGCAGCCAAACATTGTGGGACATTTAGTTATATAAATTATAGAGGAACTTGTTTCTAACTTCTAAACATTTTTTCAGAGCCTTTGAGTCTATATTTATACTTCACCAACTCATTCAGATTTGTGAGTAATTCTCTCTTGTGTTGCTGTTAAGAACCAGTTTCTGTTATACTTCCAGGACCACTTTTGACCCTTTTCTACTGAACTCAAGTTTCACCACATCTCATGTATTTATCTTTGTTTTTTGTTTTTTTATATTTTTTTTACTCTCCTTCTACCATTGGCTTTCTTTTCTCTAGCCTTCTCCCTTGATAAATGTTTAATTTTTTTTTTTTTGCTTTTTCCTGTTGCTTTGCTAACTCTGTTATTATGTCTTAATCTAGCTTACAAAAACCTGAATGAATGCAGTACAACCAAAAATGTACGACCAACAACCAAAAGACAGGACCAACATCTAGTCAGCATAGAGGAAAGGTCTAATTGGCATCCAGATTGAGCCCAATCCGAGGGATAACGACATTATAGTTTATTGAACTGATTTGGGCTCAGATGTAGATTCTGCTAATGTCAGAAACAGATGCTCCCCAATGTATAAAATGAGCATTCAACAATATAATATTTATAGAGAGGCATTGTGTGAAATAAATAAGAACAGGATGCAGGTAAAGTTAAAGTAACCATTATTAGTTTTTGGTGTTCCATACAACTATTGGAAAAAAACAAACATTAATATATTTAGTACCATCGTTTTATTGTTAATGGACTGTGAATTCAGTTTAAAGCTAAATTTCAAACTATGAAAGTTCTTAGTTTCCCTTTAAATTGGAGAAACAGTTTGTAAAAATTTAGATGGTGAAGCTTTGTGTATTATGTAGGCATTTTGAATGCTCAACACTATAGAGCGAGTAGCAGTATTGGTTGGTTTACAAGCAATATACATAAGAGTACTCTCATGACTTAAATAATACATATGAAGAATAGTGATGTAGTGTGGCACTACATTAGTAAATACACTCAAAAGTCAAACTTCAGTAGCACATTTACTATTACTGATCTCTGAACGAGGAACTACAACCTCATTCGCATTCTAACGATTTTCTTTACAAATGGTAATAAAAAGTGAACCACGCTTTACTATAGCACCATTAATTACACTTCCAACTCAATATCAACCCCACCAGGCTCATTCCATTTTACTTCATTTCAATCATTTTAGGCAGGAAACCTGCAACATTGATTGAACAGAGCACGATGTAAAATAACATTTCTAATGAGCAAACCCCAAGCCTTGTCAAACCCAATGAAATCTAAAACCTCACAGTACCTCTCAAGGACAGCAAGGTGAGTACCGTCACAGATTATATCTCAAACAAATGTTTAAATGTCATTTAAAGTGTTGTTAAACTTTAATAAATAGAAGGAATGGTTATTAATACAGCTAAACGGTGATAATCAGCATTGTATTTTATGTAGGTTACATAACATTTTGCACTCATTGGCACTCAAGGATGATCAAAGGTGACTTTTCGTGCAAGAAATCCATGTTATGGACTTTTTTCATTGCATTTGCATGTTCCTCACAAGGTGGAAACAGGGTTAGGCACGATAAAAATAGTATTTAACTATCATGCTTACAGTGCCAGGAGTGTTCTGGATCTCTGTCAGTGTCGGTAGCCAAACCATTTAAAAACAGTTTGACAACTCACATGAGGTCTGCCAGATGCCCTCAAATGCCTCTTTTTCAGACAAAAGCTTCTACACTGAGCTCAGCATAACATAGCAGAGCTTAGCGTAAGGGAGTCAACAAAAAGTACTGCAAGGAACTGAAGAGGATTTGGGACCAGATGCCTAGCAGAGCCAATCATGGGTGGGTGCAAAGCATCAAAGCACTTTGTAGATAAACACAGATCGTTATTCACTAAGGTGAGAATTCAAAGTGAATTTCACATTTAAAGGGATTCTCCAGGCACCCAGACCACTTCTGCCCATTGGAGTGGTCTGGGTGCCAACTCCCACTACTCTTAACACTGCAAGTGTAATTATTGCAGTTTTTTATAAACTGCAATAATTACCTTGCAGGGTTAACGCCACCTCTAGTGGCTGTCTACTAGACAGGAAACCTGTGATAGAGCATCGCTGGACATCCTGATTTCCCCATAGGAAAGCATTGAAAAGCATTTTCAATGCTTTCCTATGGGGCGCTCTAATGCGCAAGTATTAGCTCTCCCCGGCCGGTGGGCAGGATCAGTCTCGCCCACCAGCCGTCGCAATCACAGGGAGGAGCGGCGGCGGAGGAAGAAGCAGCGATGTGGGACATCCTCGCTGCCTCTGGTAAGTTACTGAAGGGGTTTTCACCCTTTCAGCAACTGGGGATTGGGGGGTGGGAGGGAGAGGGGACCTGCAGTGCCAGGAAAACGGATTGTTTTCCTGGCACTGGAGTTTCCCTTTAAGGCACTGAAAGAAAAAAAAGTATGCTAAGTTTTCAGTTGAGCTACTCTAACATTCAATTTGAAATTCACCTTGAATTCTCACTTGAACAAATAACCCTGCCAGTGTAATTTTAAATAAACCTTGTTCTGGAGCAGCCATAACCAAAAAACATTTGTTATAGACTACAATAGTGCTATGAATGAATGCTTGCCCCCCTGGTGAGTTATTGGTACTGCCTTTATAATAGGTAACTATTGCGATGCCTTGTAATGGCCTCTTCCTGGTACATTTTTCCTACCTGTAACAAAGTGTCTTTCATCTCACTGTTTAGTTAATATACCCCATAGGTTTGTTTACCTATATATCTCTCCTCAAAGTCTGTAGCTCCCAAATTATTTTTTTGGTTCCCATAAAACATTAATATCGTTAAGTGAATATATTAAAGTGTCAATTTACCTAAATATCCAAGAGGGAGCTACAAAAAAATACAACGTATTATGTTGCGACTATGTCATTACACCAAGTCAATCCGATTCACTGATTACTAGCCATTTGGTGTTTTAGTTTTCTCCCCTGACCACACACTCCGCAACATATATTGCGAGCACTCCCCTTCCTCTCAGTATGTGATGCTATGACTGCTGAATCCCCCTGTCTTCACAGTCATGCTGCTGTTTCTGTATTCAGTATTGATCAATATTGCTTAGATTGTGTCTTTGGGTCAGCAAAGCTTATCAGTGATTGGCCAGTAGGGAAGGGTTAATACTACATGGTTGGTATTGTCAGCAAATTTGCAGAGCAGCAATGAGTGCAAACCTGTTAGAAAGAAGGACTGTGTGATTTATCTGAATGATTTGTTCTCTGAATGATGGGTGTCCTATAACTTTGCCTTGTTATTGAAGAGGGAGAGAGGAATGTATCTCCCAACAAGATAACTTGCTACCTAAACCACACATATTGAACCTAAACATTACGTTTTTAATTCAATAGTGCAAAACAAATTACACAAATACAATGGAAAATAAGGGCCAGCAAGAACTGATACAGTTCACTAAAAATTAAACAGCCCTATTACATAATTTGTAAAAAACGTTTACAGGGTTATTCACTGAACGCTGAATTGACGTGATGTGCACCATCTGGACATGCAGGTATTTTTGAGCTAATCAAGGCCTCAATGTGATATTTTTGGATATTTTTTCTAATTATTTAATAATTTTGGATACATTTTTAAAATAATTTAAAAACATTTTGTTTTAAATATGAAAAATATATCAATATATAAGATGTATATAATATTAACATATTTTAGGGCTTGAATTGGAATCAGAACATTTAGGCAAAGAGTATCTAATCTGAAAATTCCCCAACACAGCTTAGCTTGGCTATTTTAGCCTAAATGTGACAATTCATATTTAATACACTAAAAAAAAAGTTTATTGTTGGTTGTAATCATCATGCTTTGCTTTTTTTCCCCTCTAGAGAATATATATATAGAATGGTGAAGGAAGGCTTGCACTCACGGTCTTCTGACGTTAAAAGGTTTTCTTTATTAGAAGTTACTCCATAAAATGAACCTTTCAGCCCTGTGTACTGGGTTTTATTTGTCCCTTTCCTGGCAGGCACTCTCTACTCCAATACTGTTTTTCCGCTTTCTCTGGCAGGCGTTGCTTGCACACTACTGGCCTTATTTGTCCTTTTCTGGCAGGCTCTGCCTGAACCATTACTGTTTTTTTCATGTATTTATTTCCCTCTCTGCTGTGTGGTTTGCCCCCTTCCTGGTGGTAGGCCACAGTATTACCATGCAGTTCGCCACTTGTTCACCACCAGTCAATCTTGCGAGATCCACAGTGGCCATCTTGGATCTTGTGAGATCCACGGCGGCCATATTGGTGCACTCACGTGGTAGTGTGTGCCGTGATTAAGGAGGGCTGACTGCGGGGGCCTGACTGCTTCTTCACCGCTCCTGCTGGTGCTCGCTTCTGCAGCACATATAATAAAATTGGAACGATATACAGAAGATTTGCATAGCTTCTGCACAAGAATGAAACGCAAAATTCATGAAGCGTTCCACAAATTCTACAAATTTATACCTCTTTACAATTAGTTCTACCTGCCTTGATGTGGGTGTGGGTGTGAATTGACCCTGAAGATTTTACTTGAGTGGTAGGTGCTGCTTGCCCTACTGGTTTATTGGGTGATCCCCCCCCCCCCCTTATAACTTACTTGGAATTGTGCTGATGAGGGGAGCCTGCAGTTACTGTCTCCTATACTGGATGAGCCTCAATTGTTTGACCACCTTTGTTATATGGTCTGTACTTACTGTGCCTGATATTTAACTGCTAAACTGTCTGTACTCTTTGGCCCATACCTCCTGCACCTGGTCTCACAACAACACTTGCACCTAGTACCTAATAAGTATTGCTGTTGTCTGCCTGCCTACGTACTATTGCCTTTGTCGCCCTTTATACATTGGATGAGCCCCAGTGCTCTGTGATTGTGATCGAATATAGAGGACTCCCAAAAAACTCCAGGAGATTTCCAGGTCATGATCAATGCAGCATTGGCTGTGTCAGTAAACAAACAGAACTTTCCAAAGTGTTCCCTGCGAGTTGTGACTCTATTAAAGTTGCTTCTACCACCAAATGTGCCCACATTAGGACTGAATCCGATGACTCTGCATCCTGCCGGGGAGTGTTTACTCCCACTAAATGCCACAGGAAGGGCAAAGGGGCTCACCCTAATTTATCCTAGGGCAAAAGGCCCCTCAAATGTGTGTGTATATATATATATATATATATATATATATATATATACATTTAAACTCAGAAGTGTTTTTATATATATATATATATATATATATATATATATTATTAATTGTAGTGTACCTATATTTTCCTAATCTATTTTCAAGCTAATATATTTCACAATTTAGTAAATATACACTTAAATGTAGCCCACATATATACAGACTTGGCTGCAACAATGGTGCTAATGTAACTGATCCCTAACACTATACTTATTGAGATATGTCTCAGTGAACTGTGCTTGTTAACATTGAACTTGGCATTCAATATTATAATTCCTATATCTCTACTGTATTTTCTACTGGCGTGAATTGTGCAGTGGGGTAAGAAAAAAAACAATGACCTTTATTGCATAACTCTAACCATACCCTCTGGCTGCTATTAATAGTTACATAGTCAAATGAGCTGAAAAGAGGCATGTGTCCATCAAGTTCAAACTTCCTCATATCTGCTTTTTTGCTGTTTTGCTGTTGATCCAAAAGAAGGGAAAAAAAACAGTTTGCAGCACTTCCAATTTGGCAACAAACAAGGAAAAAATTATTCTTGACCTCAGCATGGCAGTCAGACGTATCACTGGATCAAGACTATTACCCTACAATCGAAAAATTATATCCTTGAATATTATGTTTTTGCAAGTATGCTTCTAGTTGCTGTTTAAACATTTGTACAGTCTCTGATAAAACCACTTCTTCAGGCGGACAATTCCACATCCTTATTTTTCTTACGGAAAAAAAACTTTTTTGCCTTAGACTAAATCTAATTTCTTTCAGTCTGCCATTTGAATACCCAGTCCCCCAGTCTCTCTAAATCCCTCTGCAGCAAAGTGATATCTTGCTCACATTGTATTACTTAACAGAGTTTTGTGTCATCTGCAAACACTGAAACGTGACTTTCAATGCTTTTTTCAAGATAATTTATAAATATTTTAAATAGATCCCAGAACAGAATCCCTGAAGGGCATTACTTACCACTTTTGTCCAGCTTGAAAATTTACCATTAATGACAACTCTCTGTACTCTATTTTCAAGTCAATGTTTAGGAACTGAAATTTTCATCAAGACTACGTTTTTTGAGTTTGAACACTAACTTATTGTGAGGAACCGTATCAAATTCCTTTCCAAAATCCAAGTAGATTCGATTCACCACATCACCCTGATATATACTTCTACTTACTTCTTTGTAGAATGCAATTAAATAATTTTGGCATGACTTATGTTTCATAAAACCATGCTAATTTTTGATCACAATCAAGTTCTTTTTCCTTTTTTGGCCTTTTCCTACTTCTATATTTTTTACCTTTTTTATAGCTAAAGTAGAGCGCAAGTTTAATTATTGTAACAAAAATAGACCTGTGTAAGCTACTAAATTATACCACTTGTCATTCAATCTTAACTAAGGTCATTAACTACTCTTACAAAATGAGTAAAAAAATGCTCACATCCATGCTGTCCAGCTGTTAGCCTGTGGGCTAGTTGTAGCCTACAGGGATTTTGTGTGCTTTTCTGTCCTGCCTAAAAATCTAAAAATATTTATATTATTACTAGATGCATGACATGACTCATGTGATGTTGTATAGATGCTCCAAATTGTGACATTAAACAATTTTACACTGCTTCCAAATGTCATTGTTTTATCAGGACTGTTCCATTTCCATTAAAACATGTCACTCAGAGTTGTCAGAATTTAAATGCAATTTGCTGGTTTGTCATTGTATTTGTAGTACAGGGTGTCAGCATAATCATTGGCAGGACAGATATCTAGATCTGTGTTTGTGCAGTGAAACAAGCATTGTAACAAATATACTACATACAATTCTTCTTAGTGTTTAAAGTAGCATTTTACTATGCTATTAGTGACAAGCTTGACATCGTTTCAACCCACTAGAGTCTTTCTCAAGCCGGCTTTCACTAATAGCATAATAAAATGTCACTTTATGTTGGTACTCCAGAATGTTTTCCTACAATAGTAAGAACCTCCTCATTAAACCAATTGTTTCACTATTGTGTCTCAGTGGAAAAGTTAATTGTTTCATCTTTTAAATGTATCTTTTCAAGAAAATCAAAGTATTATGGGAACAGTTCTGAACAGAGTGGAATACTCCACTTTAGAGTGTAAAAAGAGTGTGGCCTGACATGTGTGTTCTTATGAAGCCGCTTGCGATTGTAGAATGCAAGTGTCATCTTTGCTGCAAAGTTCCAGGCCAGGTAACCAGTCAGGTTTTTTGGAAAGGGAGTCTAGGACACATGTAGGCTTTAGATGCCTGTAACCAAGATATATTTGGGTTGATTAGTCAACGCGAAAAAAAAATCCATTAACGCACATGGCCTGACACAAATCTGAATGGCAAAGATACTGATCTAAAGTGTCCAGTAGATAATGAGGTAACACAATTTCTCATTACCTAAATGCAGAGGTGTGAGGATTGGTTTTGCCAAACCAATTAAAAAAAACCAAAATGGTAGTCCGACTCCCAAAGACCAGTACAAAGCTCTGAATTGGCAGTGGTGCCACACCCTACACCTTGATAGTAAATAGAAGATCAGAAAATATCTATCTAAAGTGCTGAAAAATAGTCAGGTGGGTAATATTTCAAATTACATGCAGTATTACAAAAGTATATGTAATTATGTCCTTCCAATGGATTTGCCTTCCTTGATGGATCTGAACACTTTTTAAAAACCTCCATGTTTAATAATTTTTTGAGTCACTTACTTGTAATTTATAGAATCATAACACATATATAATGTGCTCAGAAGAATAACCCACAGAGCATTATATTTAATTTAAAAAAATGATATGCTAATTTACTTGCATGTCATCATACTACAATTGTTGAGCCTTTAGAAATTATTTAAAAATAAAACAGGAGTCATATCCATTAAAGACCTTACAATGAAAGGGTGCAAGCAGATTTACATATAGTGAGGAAGCTGGGTTTTGTGTTTGTTGACTGCAGTCTCTGATAGTGCTCCCTCTTTGCTTAATAATTAATGCCATTTCATTGAGGTACAGCATGATGTGCTATGATGTCATAACACAGCATACACGTTTGCAATCTGCATGCTTTGCTGAACCACATGGGAGCATTGACAGATTTGTTTTGGCAAAGGTAAAGATGTCATGTACCTCATACCTTAGACAGACATCCAATGGCTTCCAACAACAGAAACAGGCTCATTGTTTTTTAAATTGGGTACCCCTGAAGGGGATGCTCTCTCCGAATGATGTTGCATAAAATGTAGAAGAACAAGATACTTCCAAAAGAAGTAAATGTCAATTTTATGGATCCAGTGCGTAAATAGTTTGGGGGCTCATAGAGTAATTTCAATTTTAAATACATATTTAGAAACATTCTTCTTCTTCATTTCTCCTCAATTTTTTCCTTTCATCCCCTTATACATTTTATCTGTTTCTTTCATCTTGCTACTTAACCCTTATTATCTCTATTATCCCAAACATTACTAGAGATGTAGGAATATGTGGTACTATATCTTGACCAAAAGTGTATATCATAAGTTATAAATAAAATGTAACGTAACAACACACCCACTCACAAGCAATCAAAAGGCTACTATAAATAACAATTGTTAAAGTATTTGTCAGCCTAGCGATTTCCTCAAGAATGTAGAAAAATGATATGGCAGGGACATGTTAGAAAGGAAAAATAAAGATAGCATGGATCTGTATAACAGACTAGAAAATATGCATTTTTGAACATTAAAGAAACACTCCATTGAAAAATTGCATTTTAATCAATTTAGTAGATAACCCCAAATAATAGAGGAAAAAATGCTTACAAAAGCTGCAGGCATTTGCAATCCCCCAATTTACTTTGGCACACTGAAACTGAAAGCTGAGTAGCCTCTGCGTTGGAGCTGTGCACAAGCGATCACCGCTTTCCTATGCTTCTCAATGAACTGTATACAGGTGCAAGCTAGCCTAAAATCCCTGCTGCTCCTTTCAGATCTGTGGAGCTAACACAAGAGAAAGAAAATCACCCGGGCTGTGTGAGTGATAGTCAGGAAGATGTTTTTACCCCCAAATATAAAAGTTTATATTTCTATTAAAATTGGCTTTTTTATAAACGGTCATGAAACTGACAGACTCCAGACACAGAAAACGGTGTGTTAATACTCTAACCCGGTATTAGTTGATTAGCCTTAATAAAACTTAACTAGGGAAAACATGTTCTTACATTGTCTGCTTTATCATATATAAGTTATTCCATTGTACATCTTTTTCACCAGCCAAGACTTTTCTCCTTTTTAAACCA